AACGGGAAATTATACTGGTTTTCCTGTATTAGTTGCTCTAGCGGACTAAGAATCAAAAGAAAAAGAAGCTGTTGAGGTTCCGACGTAGGAGAATGAAGCCCTTACAGGAGGAGATTCCTCAGCTAATTAATTGACTTACCTTTCTCTTTCATTTGCAACTATAGTAGTAGTTACTGTAGGAGGAACCCCTTCAATCAATAGATTCTGGAGCCGCCCGAGTGCGATCCTCCTATTGAATATAGAGCTCCTAGAGCAACTCGTTGACTTTTCATCTAATGCCACTATTACAGCTACAAGCTCGAGGAACGCCAATTACTCGACTAATAGGTCTGCAAGCCTTATCTTTTCTTTTTCTGTTGTAAACCGGCCTGTTAGGATCTTCTCGCCGTAACTAGTAATAGGCTTATCTGCCCTTTCATTCGCATTATCGTGAGCGGGTCTGGTGAACTACCCTTTCACTGGTTCTAGCTACTATTGGATTTGAACCCTAGCTTAGCACTCCCTCTTGTTATTGTTAGGGCGCTAGCGTCCCGTCGAATCTTGATTCTCCTTGACAGACCAGCAGACCTTACATACGCAATTTATCGATTAATTAACGTGCAAGAGAAAGCGATCCACAAGAGGGTTCGTTCATCTAACACTTACCCACTATCGGCTTCAAGCAACTATCGATGTAGTCTGATAACCTATTGTATAAGGTTTGACTATGTGTGAGAATTTATTGACAATTTTTTCACATACTCGATTTACCTAGGAAGTCCTGAGAGAGCAACAGCAGCTGGAATTGGACCTAAGGGCTGAAAGCTTCAGACTGTCTCAATCCAGGTAACTCTTACTCCATTACTTACAAACGGATTCAGGTAGCTCAGATCTAGCTAGGTTAGACGGTAAAGAAGTCCCTCAAGCATTGAAGAAAGGAAGTAAGCCAGTAAACTACCTTACTAAACTGCTTTCTGACTCTCTCTAGCCAGTAAACTACCTCTCCTTCCAGTGTTTTTTCCTTTGTACCTCCACCTCTCTGAAGAGTCGATCCCGACTTGGGAAGCAAGGGTCTCGGAGTTCAGGAAGCAGTTAAGCAACACACAAAGAAGGGTTGGAGTGCCCGAACTACTAAAAACCAAGCAAAGGTATAATGAACCTGTCATGGAATTCACTGCAAGGTGGCGAGCCTTTACTTTTGCCTGTCCCCATAAGTTTACTTAGCAAGAGCTCCTCAAGATGTGCATGAACAACTTCAGGCACGACTTGTCGTCGATACTCCTGCCCCAAACCTTTCCTTTAAGGGATTCGACGACTTGTGCACTAAAGCTCACGATGTGGAAGCACATCTTAGCAAACGGCGGCGTCCTACGAAGGACTTGAAGTTCGTTCCGTTACCTTATTAAGAAAGTAGACGAATCACTCACTTTCTCTATTCAAAAAGTGGACTTCTTTTTCACAGCCTATATGCGTATGCGGAAAACAAGAGTTCTTATTTTTATTTATCTTGCCCTGACGGGGGCTACCGCTTTCGTTCAGTTTTCTCTCTACCTTTTCTTATTTTGACTTCATTTTCAAATCTTTTATGCTCGGCCATACCAACATGGGAAAGACCTAGCCTTCCCTCCCTTTGAAGTGCATTTATCAGATCAGCTCCCAGAGTAACTAGAAAGAGGGTTAAAGGCCCAACTTCTTCATTCATGGCCTTTTTTGTTTCTTTGATTGATCTCCCTTTCGTATTCATTCGACCTGAGGCGTTCCTCTCAGTCGAGAGACTGGCGTTCCTCGAAGTCATACAAAAAATAAAGGTTCTTTCATGCAATGCATAACGGGTGGGCCTCCTATGGATTCCTCTAACTCAATGAATGAAGGGAGGAGTATGAGGAAGGCCGGCTTTCTAGATGAAAATGAAAACAAAAAGGAAAAGGGTCAAACCATATCTTACTTAATAATCTGACTGAATGACGAAGAGCTCTTTATGTGGTCTCACTTTACCACCATCTGAAATGCGCGAAACTTCGATTGGTGGAAGCCAGTCCATGAAGATTCTCCCTTTTCCTACGTGCACTTCCCCTCTTTTGGTAAGCATCTAGTATCTCAGCAAATGAACATTTCTCTAAGCTTATCCTGTAGCTTATACGTCGTTTGAAAGCTGCTTCAAGGATCCAACGAATAGCTAAGGTTTGTTGACGATCCCTGGCTACAATCCCAGGGACATCATAAATAGTACCCGCTACTCCTACTTTTGCTACTTCGCATATGGGCTTTATATTCTCTACGGCGTCAACCATAAGTTTGATTACATCGCGTTCAGTTCGAGCTGGGCGATGAAAAGTTTGATAAACAATAGCACGAACTCGCGTTCTTTTACCTTCTTTCATGCGAAAATTGACCAACTTCTTGATCAATAGTTTTTGCTCACCATCCAAGCCCCCCATATAGCTGAAAATTTCCGAGCAATTGGAAGCCGCTTTCGATGACGAGGCCGATAAATTTATATTACGCAATCGTTACTGTCCATATTTATCAGCCAACTCCCCAGTTTCCATCTTTCCTTTTAGAGTTTACCACTCTTCATAGCTTCTTGAACTTTCTTTAGGGTCTTGCTCCCTGAGTTCCAGAGTCTACACTCTCGCGTCATATGGCTCCGCCCCGGAATCATGCTTACGCCCTCTCCTTTTAGAAATACTCTCGTTCCTCTCTAGACAAGTGCTCGAGTAATAAATACCTTTCCTTTTCAGTCGGGTTGCTAAAGCACCTGGGATGAGCGTCCTCTGATCTAAATAAGAGCTCCTGTTTGCTTTCTGGCAATGAGCTAGCTTAACCCTGATTGCGACAGGCTTAATACAGTCATGTTGGATCTCCTATTCGTTCTGCTACCAGGAAGAGAAAGACTGATTGCGACAGCTCAACCGGATGAGACATCTCTTATTTACAGAACTGTGCCAACCGAGGAACGCCTACCAACTCCGCCAACCCCAGACGGGGATATTGATTTAGCCGCACCTGAACCCGCAACCGAGGAACGCCTCTCCTTTCAGTGGAGTTCCGTTGGACCTCTACTCCGCCTACTTCTTGTGCCGACTTCGACTGCCTTATTTCGGGTGAAGAGTAAGGGGTGGTAGGCTTAGTAGGGCTCGAACCTACAATATAACCGTTATGAGCGGTACTGATGTAATACTCGGTTGAGAGTGCTACGGTGATCAGAGTAGGTGGCTTGGTGGGGACAACACACTGGCTTTGACGCTCTCTTGTGTTGGCCAAAGGGGTGAAATGATAGAACAAGGCGTGATGGTCACTCCTTGAGCCGAAATGGGATCTGTCAAGCTGGCTATGACGCTCTCGCTTGAGGGATCGAATGAATGGAGTAATGAAGTGGATTGATGGCACCACAGAGAGGATGGACGGCTCCCTGATACAGCAACACTTAGTCTTGCACGAGTCACACGAGCAAGAACAAGGTAAGAACAAAGGCAAAGCGGCGGCTAAGCTTTTGTGAAGAAAGTTCGGTCTCTTTATTGAAAATGTAGGGTGAACAAAAATACAACGCTGCAGGGGAGTTTTATAAACAGCTCGTCAGCTAGCCCTAAGGCCGAAAATAAAAAACAAAATGACATAACAAAAGAGTACAAAAGAGCAAAACGCACAAAGGCAAAAATACATGAAAAAGGAAAGTTCACTTAAACTAAAAGAAATAAAACTAAGCCGACTTTCTTGATGCCTTAAGGGCTCGAACTGGTGTTGCCTTGGCGTGTTGGAAGGCTTAAGAACCACTGAAGTAAGCCTCATTACCTGCACAAATCGTATAAACTGAAAATACCTGGTTTTGGCGCGCATGTTCCTTGGTTGGCAAGTAGTGGTTTAGGTCCGGTCTTGGGCTGCTTTGTCCGAGTTCCTTGAAGTCCTCATCTTCCTGATATCCTCTGAGGTCAAGTTGGGGTGGTTCCTCGAGAGTTCCTCCTGGTTCTTGGTTTAAAGTGTCTTCTAGCTCCATTGATGCCTTTTCTGCTCTTAAGCTTGGTTTGGTCGTATCTTGGCGCTCCGGTACGACATTGGTGAGATTCTTGTTGTTTTGAGCTCCATTTCCTGTCAAGTAAATGGTCATACCTTGGTTTGTGGCCGGTGGATCCTCCTTGAGGCTCATTTTGGCAAAGTCCTCGGTAATGTCTAGTTCGGGTGCAATGGAGAGTGGTTGGGGGCTAAGTATGTTTTCCACGTCCATGTTGCTCAAAAGAGTTTGTATTGCCTCGTTAAACCCCTCTCTTAGCCTCCTGGTCTTAGAACGCGTCATGGGAGAGCCATGTACAGACGGTATGGTGTTTGAGTCCAGCTCCCTTCGTACCGGTATGGGCTGCTGGTCGTTGCTGCCGTCATCCTCTCGACCTGCTATGGTCATATGGTCTATGTCCTCATCATCCCCTCCCCCTTGGCGAGGTTTTGTCCTCAAAACTGGATCATCTGCATCATAAGGGGATAAGTCAGTAACATTAAAGCTATGGGATATGTTAAACTCACCTGGAAGATCTAAACGATATGCATTGTCATTGATCTTTTCTAGAACTTTGAATGGTCCATCTCCTCGCGGTGCAAGCTTAGAACTCCTCTTCTGGGGAAACCTTTCTTGTCTCATGTGTAGCCAGACCTATTCTCCTGGCTCAAACGTCATCTCTCTTCGCTTCTTGTCAGCATGTTTCTTGTAAGCTTCCGTCTTCTTCAAGATGTTCTCTCGGACCCTCTCATGTAGCTTCTTAATGAATTCACCTTTCCTGAGACCATCTAGATTAACTTGCTCAACTTGGGGAATTGGCGAAAGGTCAAGTGGGGTTAGTGGATTAAAACCATAAACAACCTCAAATGGGGACATTTTAGTAGCTGAGTGAACAGCTCGGTTGTAAGCAAATTCTATAAATGGTAAACAATCAACCCAAGTTTTTAGATTCTTGCCAAGAGTAACTCTAAGTAGAGAGGAAAGAGTACGGTTTACCACTTCAGTTTGGCCATCCGTTTGGGGGTGGCAAGTGGTTGAGAACAGCAGTTTCGTACCAAGCTTCCTCCATAAGGTCCTCCAAAAGTGGCTCAAGAATTTTGTGTCACGGTCAGAGACAATGGTCCTAGGCAAACCATGTAAACGCACCACCTCCTTGAAAAACAAGTCAGCCGTTTGTGTAGCATCATTCGTCTTGTCACATGGTATGAAGTGAGCCATCTTTGAAAACCGGTCCACCACAACAAAGATTGAATCCTTGTACTTAATCTTGGGTAAACCTAGGACAAAATCCATAGACACATCCACCCAAGGTGCGTTAGGGATAGGCAAAGGTAAATAAAGGCCATGAGGGTGTAACCTGGATTTTGCTTTGTGGCAAGTGACACATCTAGAGCAATGTTTCTCAACATCTCTCTTCAAGTGTGGCCAGTAGAAATGATCAGTCACCATCGCCAAGGTTTTGTTAACTCCAAAGTGACCCATAAGACCTCCACCGTGTGCTTCTTTGAGTATCAAGTCCCTCATTGAACATTGTGGAATGCATAACCGCTTGTCTTTGAACAGGAACCCATCGTGTAGATAGAAGGAGGTGAAAGCTCCTTTGCCGTGCTCCTGGTAAGCTTCTCCTAGTTCCGGGTCCTCCTCGTACAACTCCTTTATATGCTCAAATCCAAGTACCTTAGCCTCCATGGTGGATATCAAAGCAAACCTTCTTGATAGTGCATCGGCTACTACATTCTCTTTGCCCTTCTTGTACTTGATCACATACGGAAACGTCTCTATAAACTCCAACCACTTAGCGTGTCTCCTTTTGAGTGATGTCTGCCCTCTCAAGTGCTTAAGTGTCTCGTGGTCAGTATGGATGATGAACTCCTTGGACAACAAGTAATGCTGCCATGTCTCCAAAGCTCTCACCAAAGCATAGAGCTCCTTGTCGTACGTTGGGTAGTTCAGTGTAGCTCCACTGAGTTTTTCACTGAAGAAGGCTACTGGCTTCTTTCTCTGATGTAGCACAGCTCCTATGCCCAAGCCAGAAGCGTCACATTCCACCTCAAACATCTCGTCAAAATCTGGTAAGGCTAGAGCCGGCGCCTCGGTCAGTTTCTCCTTCAAGGTGTTGAATGCTTTCTCTTGAGCTGCTCCCCACGAGAATGGTGTGTTCTTCTTGATCACGGCAGTGAGTGGTGCAGCTACGGTACTAAAGTCTCTCACGAATCAGCGGTAGAAGCTAGCTAGCCCATGAAAGCTCCTCACATGACCGATTGTAGAAGGTGTAGGCCATTCTCTGATTGCCTTTATCTTCTCCTCGTCAACTTGTAGTCCCTGTTTACTTACTACAAAACCTAAGAACACGATTTGATCAGTACAAAAGGTGCACTTCTTAAGGTTGGCATATAGACCTTCCTTTCGAAGTGATTTAAGCACTAGTTCGAGATGTTTAAGATGATCAGCTAAGTTCTTACTATAGATAAGTATATCATCGAAATAAACAACTACGAATTTGCTTATGTACGATCTAAGAACCTGGTTCATGAGTCTCATGAATGTGCTTGGGGCATTGGTTAAGCCAAAAGGCATTACTAACCATTCGTACAGCCCTTGTTTGGTCTTGAAGGCGGTTTTCCACTCATCTCCTTCCCTCATTCTCACTTGGTGATAACCGCTTTTGAGGTCCACCTTTGAGAAGATTGTTGAACCGCTTAGCTCGTCCAGCATGTCATCTAACCGCGGTATAGGGTGGCGGTACTTGATGGTGATGTTGTTGATGGCTCGGCAGTCCACACACATCCTCCATGTTCCATCCTTCTTGGGGACTAGTAGCACCGGTACAGCACAGGGGCTAAGACTCTCCCGGATGTATCCCTTCTCCATTAGGTCTCTGACTTGATTCTCCAGCTCCTTAGTCTCGGTGGGGTTCATTCTGTAAGCCGGCTTGTTGGGTAAGGCTGACCCTGGTACAAGATCTATTTGGTGTTCTATACCCCGGAGAGGGGGTAGTCCCGGTGGTATCTCCTCGGGAAACACATCTTGGAACCGGTCTAGTACAGCTTGTACTTCTGGTGGAACCTCTAAGTCACCTAGTCCTGCGTTTAGACATTCTTTGAAATACATTAATAGCACGGTGCCCTAGGCACTCATGGTTTTAGAGATGTCATTAGCTGAAAGATAGAGACTAGCTTTACTTACCTCAACCTCCTTAGACATGTGTTTTTGTAACTCATGTACCTCGGTTGGGCTGAGTGGGGCAAGAGTGAACTTACGGTCCTTATGCATGAAGACATAGTGATTGGTACGTCCATTGTGGCTAACGGCTCGGTCAAACTGCCACGGCCTCCCAAGTAGTAAATGTCCCGCTTGCATTGGTACCACGTCGCATAGAACCTCGTCTAAATACTTCCCCACACTGAATGGCACTACGACTTGTTCCGAGATTTTAAGCTCGGTTTGATCATTTAACCATCTTAGCTTGTAGGGTCGTGGATGTTTGATCTTCTCAAGACCTAACCTGTCCACCATATACTTGCTAGCTACAT